TGTGCGATCACACAACCAGCCACAATGACCCCACACACACACACACACACACACACACACACACACACACACACACACACACACACACACACACGTCATGTAGCACCACATCAGCGTCTCATAGGCCTCGTTATTCTGTCTTTGTCAAGGCCGTGTGTGTAGATGAAAGGTTGGAAAAGCATGACGGCAGGGGAAAGAAATAGATGGTGGGAGGAGGGGAAGTGAGGCGATAGTAAGCTGAGCGAGTCGAGGATATAAAGGATGGGGAAACAAAGAAAGGCAGATTTTTTGATAATTCCCTAAAAATTAAAACGCTTCTTTCTTTTTTCTCTAAATGCTTCATTCCACCTTTTTCCTCTCAAACCACACATCGTTCTTTCTCTCTGTTCGCTCGCTTCCTCTTTTCACACACTCCCACACAAAATCCTCTCTGAGCATTGGAGTCTGGCCTCTTCCATGCTTTTGTGTGTTTGAGCTCTCTCTCTCTCTCTCTCTCTCTCTCTCTCTCATATCCTTCCACTACAGCCTGCTAACACTCTGCTGCAGCCTTAACATCTGTATTCACCAGAGCTTTTTGAAAACCTCATTAGTTCATCTTCAAAGATATTTCTACACACCTGCGAGGCCCTCCCTCTTCGTACGGAGGAATGATGACGACTTTGACCGTGACCGAGGTCCTCAGCAGGTCGATCATCTGCTCGTGAGTCAGCGTCACCGCGGCCACCTTGCAGATCTCCACCAAGCGACTGCCCTGCCTCAGCCCCGCCTGCCACGCAAAGCCATACTCCTCCACCTGCAGCATTAAAAACACCAACAACAAGGTCAAGGCAAAACAGGCACATTACGAACAGCCAAGATTCTTTGTAAGTGAAAATTCCAGATCTTGTGTGGTGGTCATCTGGCCGTACCTCAGCCACAGTGCCGTCCAGGCGCACATGGAAGCCCAGCTGTCCCAGTCCGTTTCTTCTCAGAGTCATATCCACCGTCTCACATCCCACCGTCAACGACTGGCCAGGGACGGGACAGAATTAGAATAAATAAATATTAGATTTACAGAATGATCATGTCCTTATGTCTCTAAGTGCCTCAAAACAAAGGAAACATCATCAAATTACATCTTAGAAGGATTTTCACAATATGAAATGCTTCTTATCAGCTAGAGAACGTAATTACAACGTCATTAAAAAGTGAGTTCATCTATGAGTTCATCTATTAGGACTGTATTATACTTTTGAAGATGACAAGCAACCCTGCATATTTCTAGTAATCACTTTCACAGTGGATTTTGTTAATAATCCTGAATTTCCAGGATGCTTAGGAGTGTTTTCAAAGAAAAACAAAAGCAGAACAGAGGTGTAAAAACTGAAAAAATTCCACCAATGTTCAAAGAATCACATATTGACAAAATCAGATACTTGATAGAGAATAATAATGGTGTTTTTTGTGCTGTGGGGACAACATTTGATTCCTGATTATTTAAATTACCTTTAATTTAAGGTTACCAAACAAAGGATGTTTACTGTGCCTTAATTCACAAGCATAGGTCAAGAAATGAGGAAATGGGAAACAGGAACATGCAATATATTTAAATGTTTTTTAAGGACGCAAATGAATTCTAAACTAAACTTCTAAACTTTAGGCCTCCATGGAACACAGTGTTTCTGGATGCTAAAATATAAACACAACTGTGTTTGTTTAGATACTACAACAAACTACAGTCCCAACTCAACAAAAGCTATATGTCTTAACCAAAAAAGATGTTTGCTCACCTTTAACCTCTGCACCACCTCCCGGATGTCCTGTGCAAACCCCTCCGGCACGCGCACGGCGATGTGGTCTCCACGCCCGTAGAAGATCTTCAGCGTCAGCCGCTCCGGACTCCAGCCGATGACGTCCGCACAGAAACAGTTAAACACCACCTCTTTAGTGGAGCAGTCTGTCAGGAGGACGTATTCAGCCGATAGACCCAGGGCACAGGGCAGCTCCGTCCCCCCCCCGCTGAAGTCCTGAGCGTGGACCCTCCAGGCGATGGCCCCTGCGGCCCCTAGCTCCGCCCCCTCTCTCGCCTTGGAGCGCTCACGTTTCTTAGATGCGAGGGAGATGAGGTTGTTGAGCTTGCCGGCGGTGTCGAGCGGCGTGCTGCTGACGTAGTTCTCCGCCAGGTCTCTCAGGTACTCCTGCCGCGTTCGGGTCGCCATGGTGTGAAACTTGTCCGACTTGTGCGCTGCGGTTTCTGCATTGATAACTTTGGCTAGAAGGAAGTTACGAAAGGTTTCTGGATCGCGGAAGGTGACGCCGCTGGGGATGGGGGGGCCGAAGGGAGGCACGTCTTTCATTCTCGTCACAGCAGCACTGAAGGGAAAAGGGACACAGGTTTGAATGGTGACAAAATGTTATTTTAAAGATGTATACCCGAATATGAACTAGGGCTAAAACTAAAGATTGTTTTTAGTATTTATTAACACGCCCTTTAATAGTTTGGTCTATAAATGCTAGAAATAGAGAAAAAATTTCATCACCAGATAATGTCTTTAATGGTCTTGTCATTTGATCTTAGAACAGCAACCTCAATAGGAATTTTTTAAAGTCAATTAAAGACCTATCTTTTTTATTTGGCTTATAATTTGGGGCAATTGGAATGTTTTAGTAGTATCACTGTTCATGTTTGTTTTATGGTTCAGTGGTATAACTCTTTCTGTTTGTTTATACCTTGTTTTTAATTATGTTCCTCATTTATTATTGTCATTGTCATACTCTCTAGGTTCAAGGTTCGTTATTGTCAAACTAACATAGCTACAGAGTAATTATGTTGTTGAAAGACTTAGGTCACAGGCTTCTCCAACAATGCAACACAATAATACAGATAAGCAGACAATATTAAAATATACTATAATTAAAAGTAATACAAAAAGAAAAATAGTTTTTAAAAAAAGTGGGGAAAAAAAAGTGGAATAGTGCAATACGAGTCTATATACACTTATTGGAATGAAATATTAGATAATAGATACATAATTACTAAGTAGCAGATGAATGTTATGAAATTGACTGAACAGTTTGTAAAGCACTTTGGGCTGCGTCAAGCATGAAAGGTGCTATATAAATAAAGTCTATTATTATTAGTATTATTATTATTGTTTTGTCAGACCCACAACCCACATCAATTATTGATATGATATAAAAACACAAAAAAACACATAAACCCTCCATGATTAGGAGACTGAAATCCGCCCTTAACTATAACTTTAATAGCAAATAGTTTTCAGTTTAGTAACTAATCCTTTATTGGACTAATTGTAACCAGAACATAAACACGTGCTGGTTCTGTTGACAACATTTACCTGTAACAGGTGCTTTCAGAGCAGGGGTTGTGCACACGGACAATCACAAAGACGTGCTGGAAGTGGGAGCGGATGTTCTGCGGGGTGAAAGGCAACGCTCCTGGCTCCTGGAAGATTATGGTGACAATGTCGTTTCCTATGTGCCTCTTCCTCAGGAGCTAAGGAAGAAGAGAAGAAAAAAAGTACTAATTAATGAAATGAGCTAACATGACTGACATTGGCACAAGGGACTCATTCAACGATAGAGTCTGACAAGGGAAATGAGAGATTAAGACGCTCAACACCAACAACAGCGCTTTATGTAATTTGTTTTTCGGATTCTGTGTGGGCTATTTGTGTCTGTGTTAGCTTGTCCGTCTATCTGTGTTCGTGTAAGAGGCACAGAGTGCAGGCTGTGTCTGCGGAGCTGTGCTTGCCAATCCTCTCCTCATCAGCAGAGGGAAGTGTGAAAATACCAATGATGTAATCCTGCCCACCATTTTTGCCTCAAATACACACATTCTCCAGCATGGTGCCACAGGAGCATCCATCACTCAGACTCAGACTGGAAGTTGTGGTCAATGTCGTTACAAACATGAACTGTTATTGCTAGAATGCATTTGTTTTTAGCATCAATTCGGAATACAACTAGTCAAATGGTATTAGCTGAACATTTCATCATATACAAGATGAGTGTGCAGGCTGTGCTTGCGCTCTTCTTTCCCTCTCGTGAATTTAAAAAGCCACAGTATTTATATTCTTAATTCAACCCGTACGCCTCCGTTTATCTACTGCAAGTCATTTTAATATCAGATGCTGCCACCTACAGGCTCATCTGATACAGTAACACTCCTCTCTGCTGCAGCCCCCCAACCTCTGGATGGAGATATTGTGCCATTTATAAAACTGCACTTTCTGGTTTAAGAGTTGGAAGTAATGGGAACTGTTCAAACACCTTTAATCCACTTCATTCAACATTACTCGTTTACTCAAAATGTACAAGATGTTCAACTGGATGATGGAAATGGTTATAGGAAACAATAGATTGCTGTGGGCACGGTAATAAAGTATATCAAAGTATAAGGCATTTGAACTTCTCCATAGCCTTCACCACGGACACATTGTACAGTAATCCTTACACTCACAAGGCCTGTCTGAACACATGTTTCTACCCGTGTGAGCCTCTCACGCAAACACTCATGCAAACTATAAAAGATAGCCACACGCAAATGTTATGTTACACACAGGTCACTGACATAGTCCAGGCTGAAAAGCACCCAGGAGAACACTTGTGAAAGCAGCTTTATTTAAAGAAGTGAAAAGAGAAGAGGGAGAACATAAAAACTCTTCACTACTGAACCCCACCCTGTTCGGATCCCGTTAAAGAACGAGAGGCAGAGTGAGAGAGGCCAAAATATAAAAGCGTAAGAGAGGACAGAAAAGAACAAAAACTATAAAAACGGGAGAGGCTTAATGAAAGAGGGAGAAAGAGACTCTAAATGAAGATGGTGACACAAGTCACAAGTTTCCACTTTATGAATTCTTGCTGTTGGTTTACGACAGAAGAGGCTGTAACGAACAACCATGGACAGTCACCGGTTGAAAAGGAAAGAAAAGTGGTGGTTTCATTTTCGAGCTGTACGCATCAAAGCATGGCGGCCTGAGAGACAACCAAAGCTCTTACCTGCTGTGGGTTGTTGGGCATGTAGGGCAGCATGGTGGACACATGGAACATGACCTCGTAGCCTTGGTAGGTGGTGTACAGCGAGTGGGTGCCCGTAGAGTCCGCTGGGCAAAGAAATGTTCATGTTTCATGTCAGACATCATACTGCAGATGAGTCCAAACACTTTATGGTTCAAACAGATGTTTTTCTAGGGATCAAAATACTTCAAAGACTGGCATTGTAATTAAACTGGCATCAGGACACTTGCATAGAAGACATACAAGAAATAACGTGGCTGGCTTCTTACATCTTATAAAAGTAATGGGATCTCTACTATTGGTGTCGTATATAGAAATGTTCCGTGCGGCTTTATTCAGACATAAAAGGACTGTTCTTTCTGTGGTTACAATGAAACACAATGCTTGTGAGAGAACAGGTCTCTCTGTGGAAGAACAACCAACAACTTGGGGCCTCTGTTCTCTTTGGGAAAATATGTTTATTGTTTCTCTTTAGTGAATCTCCTCATACATTGAATGTAGCTGCCTATATTATAATGCTTGACAGTGAACAAGCTATACACAGTATGATGAGACATTTATATGTCTATCATGTATTTTGTATTTGCTCAAATGTCTTATCTTAAGCACTTTGCTGTATATTTACTACATGGATGAAAGTAAAAAAAAAAGAAAAATGGGCTTGTTCATGTTGTTTCATTATCAACTTAAAAGATACAAATGATCTAAGAGATGATCTATGAGATGGTAATTAAATAAGAAATCAATTACAGTGAACTTCACATGGTGTATATCTTTAACCCTGTGCTGCTGCAGCCGTCAATACAACAGCATTTCATTAAAAAAGTGAATTACATTACGCCATTTTTTTACTTTATTCTTAATTATTTTTTAAAGTAAAAATGTTAATGGCAACATATATGTTAATTTATACGTTTTTATTTCCTTTTGTAAAGTGAGAAAGTAAGATTGACAGATTGCCCTTTTCTTTTTTTAAACGTCTCCGGTGTCTAATGACCAACATGGGAATTAAAACATCTAATATATGGTACGTAGAGCATGAACGGGGCTCTCATGCAGACTCACTCTTTGTGTCGAGCTGTGCTGCGTATTTGCTGAAGTCTTTGAGGAGCACCTGCTCCCCCAGCAGCTCCAGGAAGGCAGAGAAGGCGGGTGACGCCTCCTCGTTGTTGTACATCTCCTCCTCTGTGCTCTGGCCCGCTCGGCACAGCAGAACACCCACCTTGTGCTTCTGACTCAACTACAGGAAGGAGATACAATTACCATCACACAAACAAACAGCTGGACCGCTGCAGTGTGAACATCTGACATGCTTCTAATGCAACTTAATGTCAAAGTACGTAAGATTTATTTCTGGATACACTAGAACACTGAGTAACACTTTATCGTTTACACCCTTACAAATAAAAACAAGCTGATAGCCGGGCAGAAATACCTCCACCTTGAACTTCAGCCTCCATTAAAGAAAAGGTGAGATAACATGGTTAAACATTAAAGCTTTTAGGGTTACACAGTCACGCTCAAACATATTACGCCCTGCTCCACTCAGCTTTTGCTGCTGATTTCATACTTTGCACCAACGCTTAATCAGTGATACAGATTTCAGACCCTTTTATACAACTTATCTGAGCACATATTAAGTGTGTCATATGTTTTCCTTATGCTGTCATTTACGCCAGCCTGTCTTAGTCTGTGTTTAATGAAAGCAGTTTCAACCTTCAAGTTTTATCACACAAGCTTAGCAATCAGTGGCAAGTACAGACACATAACCCACCCCCTGTTCGTCCAGTTTAAGGAGCTGCTCTGTGACTTTGGGTGTGCTGAGCGCCAGCCTCAGGCAGGAGATGTTGAGCTCCGGGACAACCTGCTCCAGGACCTCCTTGAGCAACAGACCCCGCACTGTGCCGTGCTTCCCCGTTGTCGCCACCGAATCCTCTAAAATGGAGCCTCGCAGGGTTACAAGCTGAATGAAGGGAAATAAAATAAAAATACATTTACCTCTTTCCTGTCTTAGGAACAGAATGCATGCTGACCCACTTACTTATTAACGACACTTTTTCCACTTATTCTTCAATCGTTTTTTAAGTATAAATATTTTGCTTGGTAGCATACTTTTTTTAACATTATTTATTTATTCGTTTTTATTTCTTTTTTGTTTTCTTTGATGGTATCGGTAAACAGGCTTCTTGTTTTGTGTATATATTTTAGTTTTACATTTATTTTCTACTATTATTACATTTTGTGTCAATTATGACCAGCTATGTTTTCTACTTCTAAAACACAACATAGGTAGGGTAAAAAATAAAATAAACAACAGGTAGGACTGAGAAAGCGTGGACAAACAGAAACAAAAGAAAGACACAGGAGAACATTTGTAGAAATGTTATTGAAACAAAGATAGGGGGTCAGAGGTCAGGCTCAGCTACAGAACAACGCCTCTGGAAAATGGAGAGGTGGATGATAAGCAGCCTGAGGTAGCCTGAAGAGGGTCCATCAGATGAGGGGTGGTCCCACTTCTCATAATAGTTGTCTGCTGCCTTGAAGCTACACTCTTTGTCTCTGTCCGAGACACATTCACACACACACACACACACACACACACACACACACACACACACACACACACACACACACACACACACACACACACACACACACACTCAAGAGTACCGCAGAGAAATAAAACCTGATTGACGTGCGTCTAAAGTTATGGAGCTTTCGTTTCAGCTCGTCGGCTTCTGAGCGACAGTGGGTGAGTGACCGCTGAGCGGGCTGCGTGTATAAATGTGTGATGGAGTCAGAAAGAGGACGTCTATCCACCTTGCTGCGTCAGCACTGCTGCACAGAATTGAATGACAGACTTGGGGGAAAGGATATTTGAGAGCAGCTGCGGCTACAGAGAATAAAGTCTGCAATCAATCTCTTTTTTCCTCTGTGTGGGAACAGTAGGCGCTGGTGAGCTGGCTGGGTCTGTTAGCTCTGCTCTGTGTACTTAGGTGGCGGAGAAGCTCCTTTGTTGTGCGAGAGCTAAGGTGATGAGGCCAGGCAGCCATGTAATCCAGCTACAACAACACAGAGCCAGAGGAAGACCACGACATGAACCAGAAGCTAACTTTGCTGTGTGTTTGAGGGACTTTGCTACGCAGGTGTTTATCATTTAGAAAAGGCAAACAAAATATTAAAACAGATTCCGGTAATGCCATCCATAACAAGAAAAAAGAAAAAAGTTGAATTGATTACGCTAGTGGCAGCAACTATAGAATATTTTCATTGCATATTAATTGAGTATCTATTTGGATGTGTCGATAAGTCGTTTTGGTTTAAATAAATGGCAACAAATGTTAATGGAAGGAAACCAGAGAACTTACATGTTTTTAAAGGCACCCTGTACATTATACCAGGAAGTAGAGGCAACCATTTTTGCCTAGTTATGTTCCGTCAGTAGTAATAATCATGTGGCATATTGATTCCACAAATAAACCCCAAAAGAGCTGAATCAAGACTTGGTGCTCTGGGAGTAAGAGTGAAGTAAATGAAGACGCATTTATAGCCTTCAGACATTTTTGAGTGAGATTCTTAGTTCATTCTCGATGATCACTAGCCTCTAACTTAACACATTATGAGTATTTCAGCCATCAAAAATGGAAAAGACGCAGTGTGTTCTCAATGCAGCCAAACTCTTTAGCCACAGCAGCCGGTGTTTGGTTTGGCTTTGCTGCACTGAGACTGAGCAGGTGGAATTTTCCACTGGCAGAGCCGAGAGCGGGGATGAGGGGGAGGTTAAAACAAGGGCAGAGAGGGTAGGGAGAGCTACAGGTAGGAACACAAAGGGAGGTAAATGAAAGTAGGTAATTAACTCGAGTGTGCACACTCATACTGACTCATCAATGTCTCATCACTCTGAAATCTTCAAAACAAACACACGCAGATCTTCATACCTCGCTGGTTCTGACGATGATGCGGTACTGGTACTGGTCTTTCAGGTCTTTGGTGTCATCCAATTTCTCCCTGCGGATGCTCACAGCCACGGCACCCATCTTATCATCTGCCCCAAAGTAGTTTGAATGCTCTGGTGAAGGACAACGAGAGATGGTAAGCAACTTTTGTAAAAATACCAAAATGTACACGTTTTAGCTTCTAAATGTGAATATTTACTGGTTCTATCACTCTTTGAAAACAGTAAACTGAAAGGGTTTTAGACTATGTTTAACAAAACAAAATAATTAAATATGTCAACCAAAAATAGCATACATTTTTGTATGAAACAAAGAATGGGTGAAACACATGATAAACATATCCACATTCTCCAATGATAAACTATCCATGATTAACTAATATTTTGATTACATAGTTGAAATAGATTATTTAGGGCAGCTGATCATCAACTCGGTCTCTGGGAAACCATTTTGTTTTTTATTTGTTTACTATTTTCTGACATTTAGAGACCAAAAATGAATCATCCACAAAACCATTGTTTTAATCTAAAACAATGGTTCTTCTAAAAATATTTACATGGTGCTTAAAAATCAGCTGTACAAAAACATATGATTTAAATATTTAAGAGAACTAAAGAGATAGAAAAAAGAAGAGTTTTAGAGAGAGAGGTTGGCAGGAAACATCAGAGGGTGTGTGTAGCAGGACAGGACTTAGACAATGACATCTAGTAATCAATACCTATGTAATTGAACAATCCATTCTAGTTACCAGGAGAACTGTTACTTGCTACTTAAGAAAGGTGAAGATTAAATGGTGTGTGGTTATAGAAATGCTGGAAATGTTTCTGCTGTAGATGTGCAGGAGCTTAACGTTAATGAAATACAATTAAAATGTGTATTTAACAATAAGGCTCTAAAGAAACAAATGTTTCCTCCAGTGTCATAAGTCGCCAATTAACATTCTGTGGCGTGTTTCCCGTGTTGGCACATAACATATTTATTCATTAAGAGGCTGAAACAAAGCTATCGGCGCACTTCACGAGCATCTTGCATGTCCTCCTCTAAAGCTCCAAAGCTAAGCCGGGGATATGCCAAAGCCGCAGGCAGTGTGGGAGTCGAAAGGCAAATACTGCAGACACTCAGGGAGACATCTAGCTTGACAAGTATTCCTCCTCTATCCCCCGTCTTACTGGAATGAACCAGTACAAGTTCGGAGACTCAGGCCTGCTTAGCTCCCATGCCATGTCCTATGGTGGAAATGTCAGCTTTTTGATGAGGCTTTCTGACACAGCACAGCACAGAAAAACACACACACACACACACACACATTGTGGGGGACAGCTTAGTATGAACCGAGTCAGCAGATGAACATATTTTTGGAATGATAACCTTTATCTGTGTGGCTGCAGGCCTGTCTCACACACGCTTGCTTGCACACATGTGCTCCTCACGGCATCTGTCACTAATTAGGGTGCAGCAGATGATGCTTGCCAAGAGGAAGTTCCATCCACAGCGTCTGAAAAGGTGATGTTGACAAGAAGTGCCCACAAACAAGCGGCCGTACAAAGAATTGGGCACACATCACACACACACCTTTCCTCTCTGGAAGTTAGGCGTTACTTCTGACACTGAAAACCACATGTCAAACAAAGCCGACCAGGTTAAATGCCAGAGAACGTGAAGAGAGGCAGGTGAGGTATCATCAACAGTCCAGTTGCAGGTACATGTGTAATCAATTCTGGGAGCGTTGCCAGGTTGGCCCACGCTCCTCTGCTCACTCAGGCCCAGCTGGATATTAACAGCTGCAGGAGGAGATGTGGGGAATGGCGCCGAGAAACAACCTCTGCACTGTCTAATTCCAACAGTCCAATGGAAATGAGGGAAAACGGGATTTATATAAAGCAGAGGCACTAAAATAACCCTGGCGATAATCTTTCATTATGATTCAAGCTGCCAATGACTAATACACAGAGCTCCCAGGTCTCTATAAATTGCTGGTATATATTTTTTATTTATTTAACTAATACTTTAGTGTATAACATTTCTGAAAATAGTGAAAATCTTCATCATCTCAGAGCCCAAGGAAACGTCCAGATGGCTCATTCATCTCTAGGTTACTCGTTGCATGGGATTGATTCATACTACTTGTCCTAATGGCTTTTTATGTTTTAGGAAAAGAGTTGAGTTGCTTTCTTTGGAAAGGTGTAATGAAAATGAACTTGTCCTAGTTGAGAATGAATGCTGTTAATTCCTATTATTATTTACTTCTAATAAAATAACACATGTATAACAGCTAGCACAGTTAAACAAAATGTATGTTGAAATACTACAAACCATAACCGTGTATAATCAGTTTTACACTCAGGGATTTTGATTCTTGTGATGAGCTTGCATCAACAATCAATGAATATGAATTGCTATTATTTGCGTTATAGATGTTTATCAGTGTTACCTTTCCCATGGAAGTAATCTCTGTAGTAACGGGCCCCCAGGTCTACATGCTCGATGCCGTACAGTTTCAGTCTGTCCAGCCTGGTCACCTGCTGTTCAATAGGCACCTCAAGCACCGACAAGCTGGCGTTGCTCCTCCTCAGCCAGCCCCTCCCCCCGTCTCCTCCTCTGTCCCGCTCTGCTGAGGAGCTCAGGAAGCTGATGTTGCGCTCCCCGTGGCCCCCGGTCTCGTTGAGGAAGTGGGGGCAGCAAAGGAGCAGGTGGCTCGAGCTGTGGGCACCTGGAGGCCCATCCAGGGGGTCCATGCCCAGGGAGGGGGTCATGGAGCCGGGGTCCAGGCTCAGGGTCAGATCCTCTATGCTGGAGTAAACCGGCTCGTTCACGCTCTGCCCCGGGGACTTGGAGACGGACAGGGACACTGATGCAGCTGAGGCCCCCGTGGCGGTGTTCCTCCTCTGGGCGGCGTACCCCCGCTGAGCCGCCGCCTCGTGGAAGTCAAACAGGATGCTCTGAGCGTCAAAGTGGACAAAAGTCTTGGGGCACACCCACGGTTTGTAGGAGGGGTCAGAAGCAGCCCGGCCTCCCCCGTCCTCATTAGTCTCTCCCTTCCCTCCGTCCAGCTCACCTCGACTTGAGCTCCGAAGTTTCCTGAACAAAGAGGAGGTGCCCAGCGACGACTCTGTGCCCCCGCTTTTCTTCCTCACTCTCTCAGCTCCGTCCTTCCTTCCCGTCCCTCTGTCCTCCCCACCTGTGGGACCAGGTGAGGGAGCGGAGGGAAGGGGTGCGCTTGGTTGCGACTCTGGAGCTCCCAGAAGCTCTCCGAGTCGTACGGGTGCAGAGCTGCGCTGGTCGGGCCTCTCCTGGTGGAACTGAGTCAGCATGTCGAAGAAACTCTGCTCAGGGATGCCCTGGATGTCGATGGAGGAGGTGCTGCCGTACTCTCTGAACATGCTCCCCATCCCGCCACCGCCACGGACCTCCACCTAAAAAGAATAATAAGGTAGGAAGTTTTAGTGCCATCAGTATATCAGATTTTACTACTAATTATCCTGGCCAACAGAATCCAAGATATAATTGCAATATCTATACAAATTTCGATTAGGGTTATTGTTAACATTCCCCTAAATCTACGGTGACATATCAATGGATTCAAAACAATACTGAGGGTGCTTTTACACGATGCCTGCTTGATGGTTTAAAAATAAATAAATCAAAGGTTTTTATAATAGCAAATATGTATATTTAACATGAATTTAAAAGCAGTTAACTGAGCCATGAACTGCCATTGAAGCTAGCTGTGAGATCATCTGGTATGTACATCACCACAGAGAACAGAAGAATAAAACAGAGGAAAGTAGTGAACCACACATGAACTATGCCCCTCTAATGGTTAGGTACAACATACCTCTTTTTCTTTAATCATTATTTCTGCCTTTTTGTCATGACACATAACATGAGGTGGAGTTGCATTCTGGATTATGATTACGCATAATAATCTTGTTACTTCTTGTTAAGTTCTTTGTGACAGCACACAAACTAATTGCAGAAAAGTGCCGCATGACAGTCAGTACAGTGTGTGGTTTCTCACTGTGGGTCAAAGCAGCTCCTTGTCATGCTGTGAATAAAGCAGCATGCCAGTTCACTGTGGTGTGAATAGAGCGGCTGGAGCTCCAACACTCACCTCATTTTCGTCCTGTTCGCTCAGCGTCACTTCGCTGTTGGAGCGCTGTCTCAGTGGAGGGAACACTCTCAGGCTATAATGTGGATTTCTTTCAACACCGAACCCTCCACCTCTGAACTCCACGTCCTTAGACCGTCTCCGTGGTAGCCTGGCGACTCCTCCCCGCACCAGCCCCATGTCAGATGACAAACCTGAAGAGTAAAAAGTGGAGCAGTCGTTTCCGTAGCGAAGGTTGCTAATTTGCCCGTTTTCAAGTAGCGACTCCCTGGAATGTGCGCGGCGTGGCGGCCATTCTGCAATCCGTGCCCGAACACCCATTTTGGGCACGGAGATGCGCGGTAACATGGCCGGGTCGCAGGGGCCAAGTGCCGGGTGGCCATTGGGGGTGTGACGAAAGGGAGTGTGCTGCATAAAACCTCCTCCTCCTCCATCCATGAGGTCGGAGGAGGTGCAGGTCACCCCTCTGTCTCGGTAGCTGTTCATGGCGCCCCAGGAGAGCTCAGGGCAGAGATGCAGGGGGTTGGCATCCCATGGTATGAGGTGTGCAGGGAAAGAGGGAGAGGGGTGGCCCCACACACACTCGGCTGATGGTGCTACGGCCTCCAGCTCCAAAAAACATTGCTTTCAACCGGCACGGTGGGAATCACTTCACTAGTCCATTGAGGACCAGTTTGAGTCAGGAACACTCGTCGTCTTCTGCTGCTTTCCGTCTGATGCAGATCTGAAAACAAAAGCGAAAAAGTATTACAATAAATCTGCTTGGAAACAATTTGCATCGTTTGAAACACAGAGATTATGTGACCCACATTTTTCTCCACAGGCGCAAAGTAAAACTGAATGCTGAATTTAGAAGAGAGCGAGTCACTCAACTGTAAAACAATGTGAGACTGATAAAACAGGGAGAGGGAGGGAGAGAGAGAGAGAATAAGGTGAGGGGATACGACAGAGGATTTCTTCCATTGAGGCTAATCTTCAGGAGGCTGACAAGGGATATTATTATCACACACCCTGTGCACGTGCGCTCACACACAAACACTCATATACCCAGAGGACATGAAGGCTGAGGCCGCTCGGCTGCAGATTAAAACCACTGAAACACTCCAGCTAATATAATCCCACTCAAAAGTAATCCAGATGCAAAGAGAACATTTGAACATGTCAGCGCTGTAGCATATTTTCTTAGACATGAGTCTCATTGTGGGCTGCATTTGTCTAAGACAGAAGCTACTCTTTTCAATACGTATTACAGCGAGAAGCCAAACCACAAACAGCTTTGAGAGATGAGTAGGGACTGCAGTAGAGACAGAAAAGGGCGAAGGCACAAAGTGACCCAACAGATGGAGTGGTGAGGTGGGGTGAATCCAGAAATAGTGTGACGGAGTGGAGAAAGAGCAAGGAAGAGAGCGGTACATTGCTCAGTGAACCGCAGCAGCGTGCTTTAATATGACAGTCACCCCGCATCAAGTCTTAAAAACCCACCAGCCGAGTGAGTTTCTTGTTCACTCAGAAGCAACTTGTGTCTCTACCGAAGTTAAATGTGATGATTTCTACAGGCATTCCTGTCTTCACTGCACGGCTACAGAAGATAGTGGTTTATTTGGTTTAAAAGGCTTAACGTTAACTGGTGATTCACTCATAAAGTTCCCGGAAGTCTGGACAAAAGTTTTATTACATGTTGGGCTGTGAATGTTGCAGTTGTTGAGTGACCGGCTAAGAATTCATATCGGAGATTATGACGATGAGGATATGAATGCACTGGATGGACCACATTGTGAAGTCAGCAAGCAATGACAATATGCTGGCAGTGATTCACATGCAAACATGAACAAGAGCCTCATACATCAAGAACACTTTATCTGTATTGTGAAGTCTCACTGTTAAATGTAAGACATTTAATACCAAATAAAATGGTATTTAATATCTGTTTCACAATAATACTGTAGAAAGTCTAAGGGAAAACCAGTGGGGATGACATTTACTAGTATTCATTATTATCATATCACATGTTTTTGAGAGCAGTGTTTCATAATTTCTAATGATACAATCAATACATGAATGCTACTTAAATCCAGTTAAGTGTCAACAAGCTTCATCAAACCTTCATTTTCACTGCTAGCACCTGAATCAACAGGGTAGTCTAGAAAATAAGGTCATTTTTGGAGCTAAATTCAAACCTTTTAAAAACTCAACATGACACGTGGAAAACATGATGACAGTCTGTGGGGTGTTTAGATGTTTTGGAGCCTTGGCTAAATGTCTAAAATGTAAATTGTCTAGTACCCATCTAATCAAATATTATTTTCCTCTCTCGAGTGTCTGTTTAATCTCATTCTCTATTGAGCTCTTCATTCATGGGTTTAAGCTTTTTATCATAAATCTCTCCTCAGACTGCCAAAGTCATTGAACACTACTTGAGAGGGTAAACGCACATCGTCTGCATTTCTTTTTTTTGGCTCCTGTTGACCATTTCATTTATCATCATCTATGAAACCTTCCTTATATTCTTTGTTCACACCGTTTGTCTTCACCACAACTTGTGATACTACCACACTTGCTGCCGATGTAAGCAGTTTTTCGTCCGTATGTTCAACGTTTATTTAGTTAGCCAATGACCTTTCACAACTATGAAAGCCTGTCCAGTGATTAATGCGACACTAGCAGTAACATGTTTACTCCTCAGACAAAGGCTTTCAGGAATTCAATTGTATGATTCAACCTCAAGCAAAAACACACACCCACAATGTTTAATTGCATAATCATCCTGACTCCCATCTCAACACATTAAAATCAAAGCACTTTCACCTATGCTGCTGTTTACTGGCATTTCAAAACACTGACTGTTTGCAGTAACTTCAATAGCCTGCAGAAAGCACATATTAGACATCTCTACGTGAGAACAAATCTTTGCTCATCTCTCTCTAGCTGCCTGAGGTTTTGTAAAGTCTACAGAAGTCGTCTCCTGGGTGGACTATCTCGTTATGAAGTCTAATTAGCATAACGTCGAGCTTTTCATTGTGTCAAAGCAGCGCACAGTGGTTTGTGTGTGTTTTACACAACGTCTTTTATGAGTCCTTGCTGAATTCATTTTCTGGCTTCAAGACTGCATTACTCATCACTCATACTCGCACACAAACTCAGTTCACAGCAAACAAAATCCCCCTATCGTCTCACAGCAACACAAATGTATCATGTCTTTGTTTTTGGAGAACCACAGGCGCGTTAGGGCCAAAGGCTCCTGCTCTGATCATGCTTCCTGACAGAGTCTTTCCTCTTCCTGTGATCCACTATCAGGCCCAATCCCAGATTACCCGGCCCCAGCTGCAGAGCCGCAGAATGGCTTCATTATGTGTGTGAGGTTCCTGAAGAGAGAGAGAGAGAGTGGGCTGATCTCTACCAGGGACTTCTGTCAGCACACAGCCCATCAGAGAGAAATATACCTGACTACTCTAACAGCCAAAGAGCGATAGATGTAGACACTATCTGACAAGGTTAACAGCAATAGAAGAAGTTAAAGCGGTTGAAAAAAAGAACGGTAGGGATTTTCTGCGATGACAAATCCACCACTGTGTGCCTAATGTATCCATATTATGCATATATTATATATATGCATAGAAGTTCATTATTGCCATTATGGGTGACAAATATTCTCAACTCAAGGTGTCATTTTTTTCAGATCTTTCAACCACATCTAACTACCTTCATCATCAAATGAAGCTCCCACACTAACTGGTATGTGGGAAGAAAGATAAAATCCCCCTATTTTTAAACCCCTCGAAAAGGATCAGTCACACATTAAGTGTAGAAACTTATATCATAACAACTGTACCGTTAGATACACCGTTTTATTTTTAAAATATTTAAATAGAAATTAACAGCTCCAATACAATAGGACAATTTCTAAATATCGGCAGTACGTATAAGGCCGTATCCACTCGAAGACCTAATCCATTGTTGAGTAAGAGAGAACTAGGGCTGTGCGATATATTGAAATTCTATTGTCACTGTGATACCAACGTTTGTGGTAAACGTATCTCAAATACTGCTTGAGCTGCAATAATGGTAGTTTATTCCATGCACCATGCATTCACACTCTACATGTTCATACTGTATATGTGGCCCTTCTTCTCTAGATTGTTGCCCACATGTAGAAGTCACGCTGGAGTGGTAAAGCTAACGGACTGTCTTGATGGGTGAAGGGAGAGAGACTCACATGGAAATGTGGGGGTCGAAAAAACAGAGGAAGAACTCGTATAATAAGAACAGCACGTCTGTTATTTTCAAGTCTTTTGGTTCCAAGAAAGATGAAGTTTAACAAACACAGGTTTTATGAGTCATGCCGAACATGTGTGGCAACCATCAGAGGTAACAGGAGTACCTGCAGCCTCTGAGATGTGCAGCGCCAGAGCACAGTGCTGTTTACGCATGGCCTGCCACTGTTTACCTTGATTAGATCTGCTGAAAACGACAGCTGCTGCTACCGTACAGCCACTCCGAACTCTACACACATCTGATGCTCCGTTATTACTTCATATTTGGCTTTTTGATGAAGACGTCTGGTCACCAGGGCGCATCACAGCATCTTTCTGACTTGAGAAAGTTGAATCTGAACGATGTGTGCAATGTTAACAGTAGACTTGCGCACATATTAACAAGTGTGCCCCTTGTGTGAACTGTGTAATGTTTTTAATATTTATTTATTTCAATTATCCAGGAAGTATGGATGTTTTTGTTTATGATAACAAAAAATGATCAGTTTTGCACAAGTGATCATTAAATAAGAAAACAAAGACACTATGTTGCTGCTTTAATACAAATAATGCACCTACTTTTTTTTCAGTTTCACAATGACCTTTGACCACTAATATTTAATGATTTTATCCTTGAAGACAAGTGGACATGAGGGCTACATTTGAAGAAATTCCCTCAGCTTTCTGGATATATCACGTTCGTGAATAGCGGCACAAAATATAAAAAGATCAAGTAAAAGAAAACTGAAAGAATCCCGTGAGAAGAAATAATTAATCTCCATCAAATACAGTAAGAATTGAGCAGGATCGCACATCTTTGGCTCAGACTTCAAGTGCAGACGTATAATGACTTTTAATTGCTCGCATACAGTAATTACTCAGCTCTGGGATGCACCTCCCCTGTTTTGATTCTCCCCGTCTATCCCATTCATGATCTTTCCCGCTTCTCCCTCAACACCCGCCCCGACTTGCTCTGCACGATGCACACTTGGCTCGGCACCACAAACACACACGGAGGCTGGTAATTGCTCTGGTTAGATGGTAGTAATGACAGAGTTAGCAGAGGAGTACAGCTTCCAGAGGAATGAGTGTGTGTGGAGGAGGTCCCTACTGACGCTGCTGGTGGTATATCATCCAGGCAGACCTGAGATCAGCCTGGAGAGCTTCTCACAAATGCATATTCGATATCAGAGACGATGAGAGACGGTACGTTTCTGTCTCTGCTGTTGCCAAAACAAATAGCAACCTAATTATTTGGGAGTGACGATGGGATGTATGGCAGCAAGCAAGTGAGAAGCTGTTCGGGCAACGACCAAAGGCTTCTACAAATCTGTGATTATCTAAATGATTAAATGATAAGGAAGACGTAAACTGTTGGCATTGTGGCAAGACAAAATGCGTTTTTTGAAAACAGTAACAACTCCCCAGACATCAAACAACAGCAGCAGTTACTGTAAGTATTTAAATTAAGCAAACGATGCCAGAGCGAGCTAGATTATGGGCTGGTTTGAAGAGCAGATGGTGGTACATATGACTGGCAGATGGCAGACAGGAGCAGAGCCGAGCGCGACACGGTAACACAACACAATGCAGCGCTGCCAGGAAACACAACCAGCATCGACACATCAAGATCTCTGAAGGAGGGCAACGACCAGGAGGTGCCATCAGATCTGCACCAATGACTCATGTAGAAGATAAAGTTAAAGCAACTAGTATCTAGAGGTTATTAAATGACATGAGTACACATGAAAATACCCATAGGCGATGTTGGACGGTTTGAAAGATGTGTAGTGTTGGCAACGCAGTGCTTGTGTCTGATTCATCGGCTAAAGGATATAAAAAGCTGACCTGCACACTTGAGATTTGACTTGGACCTAATTGTAACTTGACCCTTCCCTTCAAGCCACACACCTTGGTTGATCTTCCTGAGGTTTCTTACATTTTAGCTTTTGCATGTAAAATTATTAATATTTTTGTCAGACAAAGGACAGCTGGTGTCGTATGCTTTTCAATTGTAAGGCTACCCGATGCAAAAGTGTTATATAAGTAACACTTGATTGGATTTGACACCTTGAATATTTTATTACTGGGCCAAAATTCAAAGGACTTGGCCTTGGCTAAGAAGACAAGATATTCTTAACAAAGGATTTTGAAAGGTTAAAGTCAGATCGTGTTTTCTCTAATACATACAACCTGTCTTTTGTATTATAGATGCAACACATAGGAATCTTTAACTTAAATATGGCACACAAAAGAGACCTTTGTTATGAAGCCCTTCGACCTTATAGTGGACCGAAAAGACTAAAAACCGATTCTTCTTGAGACTACACACATTAGTGTGTATAAAGGAAGTGGCAGAGGTGATGTTGGTTTAGGGTTAGATCATTAGTGAGGATCAGGGCCCGGATGTTTCACTGTCCTGTGGATTGGAGTAGAAGCTTATTGAGGAACGGTTACAGGATGGCGGCGTGTGGCTGTCTGTTTATTCCTGATGTGATTGTAGAAGCAACCTACTTTTCCATCTACAAAAACAGATTTGATAAACAAATGTAATGTTGTGCTGGCGATACGAGCCGAATGGAGCTACAGCGCCCATACATCACACTGGAACACTGCTATAAGAGAAATGTTTTCATTGTTTTCTATGGCAGAAAAACTTACTTTAAAGCAAAAATAAAACGCAAAGATAAAAACGGTAGTATCACAAATGTGCATGCACGTCTATCTGCAGGCAATCCTGGAGTGTGTCAGAGAAGCTGAAACCCTGAACAAACTCAACAGGAAACTCTGAAAACAACATTGCTATATCAGAACATTGTGCTGGAAGGAAATACACCTCTGACTCTGGTCTATATTGAGCTTCTAAGTGTATTTGTTTTATCTGCAGGAGACATCCCTCTAAGACTTAACTAAACTACGGATCTTCCCTCGCCCTGCTTTCCTCCAGACTAATTTGCCTTCCCCAGTCTTTCCCTCCAGTCTCTCCCGACCCCGCTGTCATTGTCTCCACGGATCTCCGTCTACATTGTTTTGCTGAATCCCAATGATGTTCCTGGTGTCACTTCCATCTGCCTGTCTGTCTGTCACGCTGCCGTCCCACGACACTGAGACAGCTCCAGTTGAGGAAGAGGAGGACCAACCACACACACACACACACACACACACACACACACACACACACACACACACACCTAACAATTTGCATGCAGCTGGAGGATCACGACTCGCAGCCCACATCACCAGGCATCATCATTAACTGGTTTGGCTGCAGGGGATGAGAGGTGGTGAGAAAACCAAGAGAGGTGGAGGGTTTGAGGAGTTTGTTGATATTCAGATACTTAAAATGTTTACATTTCTCGGTTTGCCAATGAAAATTAAAAAACAAACAATTATTTTAATCTTGGCAAAGACCTTTAGCATTTAAGAAGGTGAGATGCCAGCGTGGCGTTAGCTGCAGTGGATTCAGTGAGCTCCAGGACCTTCAGGACCCTCAGGTTTACCCAGGAGGTCTTGGGTAAAGGATGGACCTTCTAACCTAAAGCAAATAGCTGTTAAACAAGCAACGTCACTGAATAATGTGAACCTATTATCTTCTTCTGTCTGTATTTCTGTATAGTATCATGACAAACACACTTTCTTTGTTTTATATATTTGAGGTTTTGTTGTATCCAAACAAAATAGTTGTATGAAGTCAACTGCTGATAGGATAATGTGATCAGAACATTTTTATTGACCACATGATTAATTACAAATTGAGAAACTATTTGGTTATTGTGTTTAGCAGAATAAAGGTACGGAGTTGCATCCCATCACTGCTTACTTTCAGTATCAATGTTACTTATTGCCCTAAAAATATATTAATACATAAAGTAGTTTCTTATTGGTGAACCTTTCTAAACATGTAACCCTTTATTCCCAGTGTTCTGTAAGCAAATCGCAGACTCCCCTATTCAATATTTTTATAAATATTACAGAAATAAAAGACAATAACAGCATTGAGTATTTCAGGTCTTTTGGCCAGCACCTTTGTTGACACTAAAGTTAAAGATAGCTACCGTTAGCCCAAGCATTCAGAAAAGAGGAAGGTCAAAGTGCTTCCTGAAGCCAATGAACAACAGTCCTGTAAATCAGAAGACTGCTGATAAGAAGTTCATGACAACATCCATCATTAATTTGCAGCAAGCCGTTATTCAGAGCATTGCATTGTGGGTGTCCCTGTTTTGAGGCTACTGTGGCAGATTGTTAGTGTAGCTCTCCTTCGAAGGCAGAGAGTATTTAACAGGTGACCTGCTATTTACTATCAGTACAAACTGTCAATGAGGAAGTGCTTTATCTGCAGAAAGCAGACGGTTCACCCCTACGCTGCAGAAAAATATCCAGGTCATCAAGTCAATTAGCCTTTCATCAAGTCCTCCTTTCCTTTGACTAAACACTCGGCGTGAGGTGAGAATAAAGACGACACATTCACGTGTAAGTATAAGGAAAATTATCATATTTCTTACAGACATAGATAAATACAAATTGGAACCACATTGTTTACATCAAATGTATCAAGACAACTGAAGAAAAGTGGATCACATAGCACTGAAACTAATGTTTGGTTGTAAGAAAAACAAAAGTTAAGTTAACGAATACAAGTCTCTGCCAAATGATCTCACACACACACACACACACACACACACACACACACACACACACACACACACACACACACACACACACACACACACCTTCAGCTGTGCAGAGTGCAGGTAAAGCAGGAGATGATGGACGTCACAGTGCAGGAAGGGAAAGCTCAGTATTTGTCTCTGTAGGAAAAAAGGAAAAACATTTTAGATCTTGCTAAAAACACATCCAAGTCAGATCTTAGCTTTTTTGCCGGAAGGGTTTTGTATGAACATTTCATTTAATGAATGTGATTTTCTTACATGTTTATCAGTACACATTTACCATATTATGATGTGTCGTTTTTGGTTTGTCACATCATCTGTGTGTGGCAGTAATAATTGTGTGTGTATGTGTGTGTGTTTCTGCAGAGCAGCTGTAATCAGTTCCACGCTCGTCAGATCATCCACACAGACAAAGACATGTCTATTGTTTGTCAAGAGTCTGAACAGAGATGCCTGAGGCGTTTTCCCTGTGCAGCCTCTGTACTGTAAACACGTTTGCATATACACACACAGGCCTTCACACACAAACACACAGGCTTGCACACATGCACACAGTCATGTAGGTTTTGCAGCATTTTGTCTCTGTAACAAACGGATGTTAACTCAAATATTACATAACAGAACAATGAATCCAAACAGCTTCCTCCCTGAATCACACACATGATGGGTCACAACCTGCCTCCTTCTTCCAGCTCTTCTTGGATGGAAATACAGAGGAAGGTTGTAGGTAAGGTGAACGAGGCAGTGCACTCTCATTAGAGATCGAGGGGCCTACCAACGAAGGGGGGGAGGGCTCTTCAAATACAAGTAGGACATGAAAAGAGGGGTGAAGTGGGGCCAGAGATGGGGGGAGGTCGGGAATCAGCAGACATAATGTCCTGAGGGGGAGGCCCATTACTGTCTGACAAATACAGTTCCAATCAATACTGATCAATCAGGGTCCACTTACCCTGCCACGGCAAGAATAATAACACTGTGTTTAGCTGATGGGGGGCAGGGGGGGATGGGGGTCAGTGAGGATCGTGTGAGTCTATTTTACGATATAGCAAAGCATCAGTCCTTAAGTCAGCGGCGTCAGCATGGACTTAAGGCTCAGGCTTCGCTCCACTGCCCTGAAAATGAAATTAAACTGTAAGTGAAAACTTCCCAACCACAGCCGATCTGGCCGCACAGACTTCAGCCTCAAAGTGAGTACACTAGGGCTTCTGTGTATAGGTAAACTACAGAGGGAATCCATTATCACACTTCCTCAAGGACACATATCAGATTAGGGAAGTCAAATCCCATGGGAAGGCAAACACTCATTTGGAGCAAACTATTATTAACTCCTCATGAAAACTGAATCAACGTACATATGCAAAATTGGTAGGTGCATTTGATAGGTATTGATAACTGATGTCTGATTGATCAGCGATAGGGTTTCACTAAATATGTATTCAGAGGATTTTGAAGGTCCAGGGACCCCTGAGGATGTAAGTATAATGTTGACAAGCTTCACTTTAGGAAGGCACACTGTTTCCAAAACATCAGCCTGTTAAAATAAGTCTATCTGGTACGTCATGTGAAAGGGCTCCTCCTTTTGTTGGCTGGGTATTATACTTGTGTGTTCCATCAGAAACTTGACAAAAAACGAAGAGGTAGCCTAAGAAACCGGCTGTGTCACGCTATGTGCAAGAACTTCAAAGGGCAATAAACTGAATATGATTAAGAAGAAAACAATGTTCACAACTTGAGAGACTGGATCTCAAACTAAAGCAGACGGGCAGCTTGGCCAACCACTTAAGAAATTATGCATCAATAAAAAACAAATGTAAGATTTCATTGACAACAATAAGTGAGGGTAATTTTGACGCATATTTTTTAGTCAATAATAGGTTTTGCAAGAAGCTGATAAGTGACTTACAACATCTTTGGCTAAGTGGTCAGAAGTGAGGGGACAAACACCAAACTAACTGGTTAACCACACACGACAAAACGACTACCTCCAAACTGCCACAGTGATGAATCATCCCCTCTGTGACACAGACTGAGCTTAAAATGTTTGGTGTGAGGATCAAAACGCATTGCTGTTCCTGATGTACCTGCATCTAAAAATAATATCTAGAAGAGTCCTTTCAACCACATTAATGTGAAGGTATTGGATGTGTAAAAGCTTCAACAACTTGTCCACTGGGTCCACTGACTGCCTGATATTGCAGTACAGGTCTCAAAACTCACCACAGAACCAGTTTGACAGGGGAATCATGAACACCAGGATGAAGACAAACGACCTCTGTACATCTAAACTCCACCGAACCTTGACGTGGAGCAGTGGAGTGCAAAGAGCAGGGCTTAACTCAGAGCAGACGTCCACACCTGCCTGGTGGAAAGTCCATTTGTGTGACAGGTGAAGTCTTGAGCCCCGGCCCGTATATTGGCTTCATATTCAGGCGTGGAGTCTGTGAATCCTGCCAGACAGAATAACTGTCACACAGCCAGAGAACAGATGGCTTACTCTGTGTGTGTGTTGTGTACATACAGCATGTTTTCAGCACTGTAGGACTATGAGATCAGCATAAATGACTGTACACTTAAATGAACTCAAATGCTTTAAGTAAAGACGTGAACATTTTCTCATGACGGTAGAAGCGAGGCTAACAGTGATTGGGATGAAAAGGGAGTCAGTGAGTGACTGTGTCTGTGTTAGGTCCTGTTGTGATTAAGAAGGGATTACTGTCAGAAATGTGATGCATGAATATTTCAGAGTAATTGCTGTGTCAGTACTCACAGTACGCCTACTGAAGTATTATTTATACAGTGTGTTCACATCACAGACGGCTCATTTGAAGTCTTCAGTTCTGAGATCAATGCATGTTATAATATTTATTTATCCATATGTTATTTTGAACAGCTTATCCTTTAAAGGGTGGCCAGGGACTGGAGCTGATGTTTGAGCGTCAGTCAATCACATGCCATGTTGTCATATGAGTCAATCTAAAACATCCAACTCCAAACTTGTTGTTAAAGTGGAACAGATGTTTTACTAACAACGTTTCAGTGTATGTCTAGAAAATATACGTCAACTGATATAAATGAAAAACATGAATCTGTTTCAAAAGAAAATAAATGTGCAACTATTCTAATAATCAGTAAATTGTCAATTCCAAGCATCATGGCAGACTCCAAAGGCATCCAGTTTCTGAACTATAAGAATTGGCTGATTCATAATATTGTAATTTATTTTTTAGTATTAGACAAAAGATAGATAGATAGGTACTTTATTGATCCTAATGTGGGAACTTTTTGACAAGAAATGTAAAGATGTTGTCTTGTTTTATGGTAAAAAAAAAAAAAAAACACCAACCAACAATATTTGTATCTTCGATATTCAAGCTTTCAAACTTTAATTTAGACATTTTGCAGCCTAATGTCATTGTTTACAAAAATGTAAATCCATGACCTTTTTTATGCCTCAGTTTTCACATCATGACGGTCTGACACAGTTTCATTCCTCTGAATAATGTATGTTTGCATATATTCCTTACATATGATGCTGTTGTCTGGAGTGTATAATGAGAGCACTGGCAGCAGGAGAGGGAGGGAACCCCCTGCAGAGAGGGGTGGGCAGCCCCATTCACACTCCAACACTGGGAGGTGGGGACTGCCACACTTTCTTCCCTTTCACACTCCTGTTCCCCTGCATGCCCCTCCGCCTCCCCCCGTGATTCTAGCAACCTCATCTAATTCCAATTGCAATCGAATAAATGATCTTGTTTTGTTTCCTGACACGGCTCTGCCCCGCTGTGAAGGTCTTCATTCAGATTAAATAAAGATGGGGAGTGTCGCATGAGGGAAAACCAACAGAAAAGCAGAATAAAACCAGGCAGTGCGCTCTGTACACGCCATGAATAAATCAAGGTCCAAGCTCCTCTGATCGATCAGTGACTGATCAATGAGCGGAGATTTATTATAAATATGAGAACGATCCGCCTTTATTCATATTCCAGTATGAACTTGCAAAGTAAGCATGCACAGTTTGCATTATCTGATACACATCCAGTCAACAAACAGCATGCTTACAGCTATCCATCAAAAGGCTGTAATCATTTGCTCAGAGAGCATTTGGGAAATAACTCGCAGCTAACTGTACATGTAGGCTTTTGTTTATTGATTATTACTTGCCAAGAAACTGATGATTGCACCATATTTACAATATTCCATCGAAGCTTCCTTGACACAAACAATAAACTGAAAATCATAAACTTCTCAGGACTGAGTGAAGTCCACTGGCTGCATGCTTTCACTCTGGGCAACATAAGAGTGATGAAGTCATATGCAATACACAGAGCGCCTTTCACCAAAAACCACTTGGAAAGGCTGCTGAAGCTGTTTGATCGCTATTTTGCTGCTGGTTGCCATAGGAACGGGAAGGTGCACCAGTAAAAAAGACACATGTAGGCGTCGGGCCGCCGGCAATCAGGGCAAACAACCTGAAGAGCCGTAAATAACAATAATATAATAATAACAAGACGCACTAATCCAGATCCCCTCCACACACACACACACACACACACACACACACACACACACACACACACACACACACACACACACACACACACACACACACAGGGCACACACCACACACACACACACACAACACACACACACACACACACACACACAAACAACACACACACACACACACACACACAACACACACACACACACACAACACACACTACACACAAACACACACACCACCACTACCCCTGGAGGTTTTTACGTGTTTTTTTTTTTTGGGGGGGGTTTTTTTTACGGGCTCTCTGTCCGCAACAATTCACACAACTGCCTCAGCATCTTCTTCCTCCTCCCTCCTCCCTCCCCTGCTGTCCTCTCGTCTCAAACTCGCGGCGAGCCACGCTGCCATGCAGGCATCAAAGCCAGTCAGCCCTTCTGAACTCAGAGGGCCTCAGGCCTGTAAAAAAGGTGGCACTCATCAGCGATCTTCCAGCCTCTGTTTACTTGCTTTTTGTTGGTCCATAGCTTGAATACCAGGCCTAGCTAATTGTTGTCTGCGATTTTTAGTAGGGGTGGGGTAATCGTGTGTCGGTCAGCGGGGCGGGGGGCGTATCTGGATGGTGAGCAAGTGGTG